TTCCTTAAAGAAAGGTCTCCGAACTGTGCAGTCTCTTTCAAAGAAGGAAGATCCACTTTTGTTCTCTTTTCTTCTAAAAATATATTCAGATTTTAATAGTAACTATTCAAAAATCGTGACACACACTGAATTTATTGAAAATTACTACTCACTCACGTAAATCAGCCGAGGCAAGCTCTACTAGTTTCAACTCACAAGCGGATTCTTCTTAATGAGCAGCGTGCGCGCAAGTCTTCGTAATTTTTCTGATATATGTAATTTTGGGAATCAAAACAACTATTCATATTGGAATGTGCTAAACTTAAGTGTTTCAGTGTCCTCATAGATGTATTTTCTTGTTGACCGTGAATATTGCTGGCAACCGACCTTTGTAGAGGAAGTCCATGGTTCAACCTAGAGTGCCATTTTATATATCAAATGGCGGCAGACGAGCGGATGATGGTAAGTAATATTACCGTCATATATTAAGGGCATTGTGCCACTTAGCCAAACACAACGCAAACGTTGTTTCACGCCGGTCGAGCTACTCCATTCGTGCTGAAGTACGATTGATTGCTGTAGAAGCTGTTGCTAACACCATTACACGTAGTACTTTAAGTTAAGTAAAAAAAACAATATCTTCATGCCCAAGAGGTCATTTGTATGGTCAATTGAGATTATATCAATAAACGGTGAGCGTATACGACAGAAAACGCATTACCCTCCTTTCATTGTACAGTTGGGTAGAAACTGTCTTCCTGCTTTCGTCATCATTAACATTGTTGTTTTTGTTATTCGCATAATAATTTATTTTAGTAAATCTTTAAACAAAGAACTGCCCTTGACGGTCTAGTGGTTGTTGTTGCAAGTAAAAATGTTATGCATTAATTAGATCCTGGATTCTATTCCTAGACTGATTTAATATTTTAACTAGCTTCCACCCATGGATTCGCAAGCATGGTATGTTGTTTAAAAGCAAAGACCTATGTGTTAATCCAGAGTACCACTTATCTACATACCAAATTTCAACCAAATCCGTCCAGTAGTTTTTACGTAAAACAACAACAAACATATCTATGTGCCAAACATTCTCACATACTTTCACATTTATAGTAGTCGTAAGGAAGGATTAAGACTATTTGATGCCCTAAGCAATCCACGCCCTTTTTTTGTTTTTTTTTGTCAGGGGTAAATCATCAAATGACTTCTCCCGCCCAAGGTTAGGCGAGAGAGAGTGTCAGACTCTTACTGACTAAAAACCCCCTCGTTCCTTCTCCTGGTCTGGGCCGAGGCCGCGGTGACTCATTGCGCTTAACCCGCAACCCCGGCTGAAGCAATCCACGCCTGTGGGCCCTATTCGTATATCAACTTGAATCGGTCGTGAAACATTTACTGCTTAAAAACATTAGTTTTTTGTAAAATAAGATGATGAGATGTATGTAACGTACCTAAGAAGTCTAGTAGGTGCGAAAACAATAAAAAACTAAAGCATAATTTATTTTTCGGACGCTTTTTTGTGCTTCGTCTGTTGTGATGCCCTAGGCAATTCCTTCATTTTCGATTAAGTAATTGAGGGTTAATCGGTAATTGGTGTAGGCTGATAACATCGATATTTTCCATTTTTACGTCATTTTACTCGGACTGAGTACCAAATCTGAGTTGCTGTATCAAAAGTAAGCATTTAGAAACACTTGACTAATGAAATTACCTAATGAGAGAGAGAGAGAAGAATTGATTAATTACTTGAGAAAAAGTATTTATGTATGTACACACATGTCATCTAACACAAATGATATAGTCCAGATTTAGTGACTCACCAACTCATTTTAGTAGAGTTTATTCGAGTATTCATTATGGTAATTTTACCTATTGTGAATATGTTAAAATGTTGAGAATGTGTTTAAAATTCTTTTGTCGTCATAAAGTATGTTCGACACGGCATTCTATTTATTTATAGTCAGGCTCCAGATTCCGCAGTCAGATTAAAACTGCAATTGACTGAAATACTACCCAATAATTACTAATATTCTGACTCCAACCCAAAAGCTAACAAAGCCATGCTTTAATGCGAACGGACCGGCTTAAACGGAGTGATACTACGGCCTCACAGGAAGCACGAACGTTTTTATTAGATTCAGTCGTGTAAGTAAGCCTGTAAATAAATTTAATTAAATTCTATAATAGGCGGAGAATAAGAAGAATTTTTTTTTGATAGGAGAAAATCATCGAGTCACTTCTCCCGCCCAGGGTAAAGCGAAAGAGAGTATCTGACTGTTACTGACTAAAACCCCCGCTCCTTTAAGCCGAAGCCGCGGTGCCTTATTGCTCTTACCCCGCAACGCCGGCTAAACATCAGCCCTGTAGGGCCCCGCCTGGTATCAATTCTCCCCTATTCCCAATGCAGAATTCTCAAATTCATAACTCTAGAAGGCCTACAACGCATTTGGAACCTATCTGGTCCCTACGGGCAGCGCCAAAATTTATTATCAGATAAACCATCAAATGATCCCTTAACTCTGCAGTCACGTTTAAAAACATTCCATCAAGAGGGTACAGAAGCCATAAAATATTTTTGCGAACGAATTAAAGTTTAATTAATTCAACTTACACATTGCCGAATGAGTCTGAATAAAAATAGCTTCAGGCAATAACAGAGATTCAATGCTAATACCAGTTCACTGATACGCGTATAAAAGCGAGAGCAAGTGCTCCAAAAAGTACACACGACAACCACATCCATTGCAAACATGTACTCCAAGGTACTGTAGCGATATTTGTATCAATATAATTAACGTAATTATTTAAAAAGTTTATTTCACATTTAAATTGCATTTCTACTTATCCTTTTGGGTAAATGGAACGATAACACTATTTATATTTGTGGCGTAGGTAGCGGATTCATGAAAATAGATTAATAGAATTGTTAAAAGAACGTTTTTTTTCTTTATTTGCAACATATTATTTTACTATAACAGGTTTGTTGATTGTTTTTAATATATTATCTATTAGTTTGAATTTTATTGTTGTTTTAGGTCTTAGTATTCCTGTGCGCGGCGAGCCTCGCCTCCGCTGGCCACCTCCTCGAGGCTGCTGCCCCTGTCGCATACAGCTCAGCGCCCGCCGTCTCCTCCGTGTCGTTCTCCTCCCACACCTCGCACGCTCCCGTCGCCACATACGCCGCCGCTCCCGTCGTCGCCAAGACCTACGCCGCTCCTGCGTACGCCACCTACGCTGCTGGGCCCGTTGTAGCTAAGAGCTACGCTGCTCCTGCCTACACCACCTACGCTGCTGCCCCCGTCGTAGCCAAGACTTACGCTCCTTCCGTGTCTTACCAGTCCTACTCTACTCACTCTTCTGACGTCGCGTACGCCAAGACCTACGCCGCACCCGCCGTCACTACCTATGCTGCCGCCCCCATCGTTGCCAAGAGTTACGCTGCTCCTGCTGTCGCAACCTACTCTGCTCCAGTCTACGCCAAGTCTATCTCTCCGGCTGTCTCCTACTCTTCATACTCCAGCCACTCTGCTCCTTTGACCTACGCTGCGGCGGCTCCCATCGTCACAAAGACCTATGCCGCTCCTGCTTACTCTACGTACTCCGCTGCGCCCATCGTAGCTAAGGCAGTCGCTCCAGCTGTGTCTTACTCTTCCTACTCATCTCACTCCGCACCTGTGGCCTACGCTGCCGCTCCCGTCGTAACTAAGACCTACGCCGCCCCCGCGGTCACCACCTACGCCGCCGCTCCCGTGGTAGCTAAGACCTACGCCGCCCCAGCTATCGCCACTTACGCTGCTGCTCCCGTCCTCAAGTCTGCTGTGACCTACTCTTCGGCCCCCGCTGTCGCTCACGTGTCATACTCTAGTCTTGGATCCAACTACGGTTGGTAAATAATTGGTTTTTAATTTATTTGTAGTAAATAATGTAAATAATCATTATGTCATGTAAATATGTATGTATATCCGAAAAACAGAACGAAATAAAACAAATTCTAGTATGAACTTGTTTCCGTGTGTTTTAAACAGTTAAATGTCTGAAATCCCTCACTTATTAAGACTTGTTTAAGTAACAAATTGTTTTGTAAATGCATTGGTAGAAAAAGCATACAATTTACCTTAAAGAATAGTGAATTTAAGTTTGAGTATTGTTTATTTTTATTGATATTTGAAATTTTTGGGAGTTAGCTTGAGTTTGTTGGTAGACATTTTGCCTTAAATAGTAACTAGTGATTCTATTATATTTTCTTTCGATCACAAAACACGCTACGAAAAAATATACCTGCTCATAAAAAAAAATGTTTAAACTGTTTGAAATAAAATCCCCTCTCTAGATCGGGGCTGTCAGAGAGAAAAACTGTTTTTCGCGCGCTTTTGTACTGTAAAGCCTCAAATTATGAGTCTATTCATTTAATATAAATAGTATAATATAATTATAAAATTACCTATGACTTGAAAACTTAACACAATTTTTGTTCCTAAATTGTGTGTAACTAGAAATCTAAAACCAATGTGACCACTACCTGTGATCATCCATATGCGGATAAATCAGATCTCGAGAGGAACCCTTGAGTAGGTTAAACTGTAATTGATTCAAAGCCCTAAGTGATGCACTTATGTACATTAGCTATACGCAATACACCGCCTTACCCTAATCAGGCCACAGGACAAACTACGAGATCTGTAGCGTGTATGGTTTAAGTTTCAGCTTAATAAGTTAAGAAATTTAATCTGGTGCTGCGGTAGACTCGTGTGTTATTTCGGACTATAATGTGTGGTAAAGATGGCATGGATGCGTTATCAAGAATCCTTTGATTGATAAAAGAAAAATTTTAATGTCGATCTGACTGCAAGGTTGGCGCGGTGGCTTGGCAATGAGATCCACAAATTGTTGTTCCGCCTTCAGGTGTAATCAGGTGTAATATATAAGTAAAATCGTAATATTTTTAACGCACCTAAGAGTAAATCCTAATGTTAGAAGATTTGGTCATCCTTTTTTTATAAGATTTAGTGGAGATCACGATCGCAATGGAAGGCGCCAGATGCGGTGTTTTGAATGGATTTAGTGAATTGCGGTACAAGTGTGCAATTTTGGTGATCACTGCTGAGGCGTATCGAACGAAACCGAGGACGGTAATCATCAATACTCACGTGTATCATACGACGTTTTTCAATACACTTCCGAATGAAATAATACTTAAATAGAAAATTATTTTACATAGTATATTATGGTTGGCCCGGTCTTATTAAATGTGGGTTAATGTCTCTCTTAATTTTTTGTTTTTTCTTGCTAGCCTTTTTTTGTGTTAATGTATCTATATATAACAGCTGTTTTCTAAGTACTTATATTACATAACAGTAAGGTATAGTAGATAATGTTGTATTTACCTATAAGTATTTTGTTACACCTACTTTAGTGTTGCCCAAATGCAAGAACAAGACGAGACTTAGCCAGTCTTGGTCTTGGTCTTGCGCCAATACACCTGGTCTTGGTCTTGGTCTTGCGCCAATACACCTGGTCTTGGTCTTGGTCTTGGTCTTGCGCTCCCAGTCTTGGTCTTGTTCTTGGTCTTGCAGCAAGAGTCTTGCAAGTCTTGCAATTACGTATTAGTCTATTACTATTTATTAAAGTTTACTTTAAATCTTAGAAAAACGTATTAGAATTGGAACATTGTGAGCTTGAATTAACAAAGCCATAGTAAAGATCAAGCAGATTAATAAATAACTGAAGATTTGATAAGAAATTCGAAAAATCAACTAACCTATATGTCGTTTTCCATGGAACTAACTGTTTCTTAATAAACATTTATGATTTATAAGCTTACACACAACAATATGATATATATGGTGATATTTGAACACTTTTTTTGCTATTTTTTCTTGTAAAAACTTAAGAAATATAATGACTAAATGTATAATAAAATATAAATAATAGTACCTAAGTAATTAGTTTAAAACCATATAAGTAATCAATATTATAATATATACTTACTAGAATGAATTAATATGACATCTACTGCCTATCCTTACCATTTTATCCTAATCATAATACTACTTGCGTGATCAGTATAATGTATTCATTTTCATTCTAAACACTCTGAAACTAACATTAATGATCTGCTAGTGCCTGGTATCCTTGGGTATGCAGATGATAGCACAGTTGTAGAGAGATACCTGCCCAGTGCTCGGGCTAGTAAGGAGCTAATCCAGTCTGAAAGGGAGGCTATGGTAGAGCGTACGAATGTCTCACTTCAGGTAGTTTCAAAGTGGGGCAAAACTAATCTGGTAACATTCAACGCCACCAAAACACAGGCGTGTCTATTCACCGCCAAAAGGAGCCCGTTCGCCTTGGCTCCTGCTTTTCGGGATGTATCCCTGGAGTGCACCAACCGCCTTCAGCTCTTGGGAATGGACATTGCTTCAGACCTCAACTTTGGGCGGTTCATTGAGTCCAGAGCCAAGGTAGCTGCTAGAAAACTCGGCGTTCTTGCAAAAGTCCGACGGTACTTCACACCGAGTCAGCTTCTAATGTTGTATAAAGCTCAGGTCCGATCGTGTGTGGAGTACTGCAGCCACATATGGGCTGGTGCTGCGAAATGCCACCTAGCGGCTTTGGATTCGGTGGAAAGGCGTGCAATGAGGCTGATTGGAGATCCAGATTTGGTTGGGTCCAATATTCAAAGTCTCGAGCACAGGCGCAGAGTAGCCAGCCTTGCGGTTTTCTACAGGATACATTTTGGAGAGTGTGCCCAGGAATTGCACGATTTGATTCCGCCATCCCAATTTCACCTTCGGACATCCCGGCGTACGGCGAATATCCACCCCTACGTTGTTGAGACACCTGCGGCCCGGACTAAGCGTTTTGCCTCGTCATTTATACCGCGTACATCGAGGGATTGGAACAGTTTGCCGGCTGCAGTCTTTCCGTCCGAATACAACTTAGGTGTCTTCAAGGCTAGAGTGAATAGGCTCTTAATAAACTAGTGCGCCTTACCATCAACGATTGCATCACTGCTTAACATCAGGTGGGATCGCAGTCAAGCACTGGTTTATTGCAAGTAAAAAAAAAAAAAAAAACTTATTTATTCTTTGGAACACCTGTAGGTACTCTAAAAATTCGAAATTATTTTGCATGAGTATACCTACGCCCTATGGCGGCAATCAAATAGTGTCAAATGTTATGATTTCGGCGTGGCGGCAACTATTGTTTTAGATTTATAACCATGTACTTCCGAAAAGCGGCAAATTTCTTTGAGAAGTAAGTACAACCTTTGATGCCGCATTATCAAAGTGCCGATGGTTAAAACATAACTAAGCATGCACTCAGTTTGATTTTAATAGATATTTTTTCGCTATGTTTATGGTATTAGTTTGTAATGCGCATAGGTCCAGTTTTTCATATTAACATACATACATATATGATACAGTTTTTTGCGTCTCATAGAATTCCCAAGCGTACCTACCTATACACCGAACTGTTACACCTAACTACTCAGTGAAATAGCGCTAAGTCGCAAGCTGCAAGACGCAAGAGTCTTGCAGGCTATGTCTTGTTCTTGCTCAAGTCTTGCACGGTCGGTCTTGGTCTTGGTCTTGCTAAAAATACGCGGTCTTGTTCTTAGTCTTGGTCTTGCAAAAACGCAAGAACAAGACCAAGACTGCAAGACCAAGATTGAATTTGGGCAACACTAACCTACTTTAAGAACTTTCATGTATTTATTATATTATACTGGTGTAAACAAATGTTGGCAAATCTAAATAAATAAATCTATATATATAAAAGAAAGTCGTGTTAGTTACACCACTTATAACTCAAGAACGGCTGAACCGATTTAGCTGAAAATTGGCAGGGAGGTAGTTTAGAGCCAGGAGAAGGACATAGGATAGGATAGGATAGAGTAGGTAAGGTAGAGTAGGGTTGGTAGAGTAGGATAGGTAGAGTAGGGCAGGTAGAGTAGGGTAGGAAGAGTAGGGTAGGTAGAGTAGGGTAGGAAGAGTAGGGTAGGTGGAGTAGGGTAGTTATAGTAGGGTAGGTAAAGTAGGGTAGGTAAAGTAGGGTAGGTAGGGTAAGTAGGGTAGGTAAAGTAGGGTAGGTAGGGTAAGTAGGGTAGGTAGTCAAATGACGGGAGCGACGCCGCGGATAAGAGCTAGTAAAAAAACAAATAAAAATAATTAGAAATAAGTTTAGGTTTCCCTTACTTTTCCTTGTTTTTCTTTAAGTAATACGTCTGCAAACGACTGACTTTTACCTTGGAGCCAATCGGCGACGCTCATGAATAACTGCAAAACCAGATTTATTGCTAGTGTTTTGGGGATTGAGGAGGGATGGTATGATCGGATTGGGCCTCCGGTACCTTCACTCACACGGCGAAAAACAAAAGCGCTATGGGGATTTTACTCCGACCTTGACCTCAGGGCCAACAAAATAAATTATACAATTTTCTGGTTATATTATAGAGGGCGCTGAATTGCGTGTTTACCTACTAAATAGGTTATTGAAACAGCCAGTACTATCAGATTCAATTCTGATTTGTAATTTGATAATAGGTATAAATCACAATTAAATATTTGATACAAGTGGCTAAATGATGAACGAATAATAGGAATAAGATACGATAAGTATTAAGTAACTATGACGTACAGAAATATAACTATCGACATGTCATATGTTTTTGTGCCCATGGTACCTAATAAAAAAAAAACAAACTAGAAAGTGAACAATATGTTTCAATCACGAAAGGTTTCAGTACTTCTTCTTTTACCTGTGACGTAATCGACATGCACTATACTCGGAATTTTAATTCCATTCCAGATTTGACAATTTCGGTGTTGCAACGTTATGACACGTAATAAATAGTGACGTTGCGAAATTATTCGATATGGAAATCGATTTTTTCTGAATCGATTCCTCTCGTTTATAAATTTACTCTCGTAAACTAAGTTTATCAGGAAGTAAAATATTTCTGAACCGATAATTTAGTTTTGACAATTAATTAACGATATGAGACTTTTCTTTTGTAATTGTGTGTGAAATTAATAAAAAATGTGATCATGAAGGAACGTGACAAATAAAACAGACATTTTATAAATTGTCGCCGTCATCGCTATCGCTATCGCCGTTACTCCATGTAACAATTATTATGAATTGTGTCTTTGATATTTATTGTCAATTAACATATCTAGCTTACTCATTTTTTCCTCTTCTTTGAAAACATGTAGACATTTAGACCATTCGGTAGCCGTAATTTTTTGAATGCCTTCCTGAAACTGATTCACTGATTGTTTATCGATTTTAGTGTTCATCACTACATTGTTTTAAGTGGTATCATTATTTCACAAAATGACAATAGGTCATGTCAAATCAGGAATCGAATTAAAAGTCTGACTATAGTTTCTAAATTTAGATGTTTTCAAAAAAAGAGGTGGTTATCTATTTGACTTTTTTTACGGGTATTACGGTATATCTCTGGCATTTATAGACTGATTAAATTATTGCATCCAAAAGGGCAAAAGTCTACTCATGAAACGGTCTCAAAAAATTTTTGTTCAAAATGAGATCAGAAATGTTGAAGATATTGAAGGGAACTCTTCAAAAATCAAGAGAAAAAGCTCTAGTTGATGTGTCTATTTGCGTGTTTGAAAACTGTGTAGTTTGCATAATTATTATGGTATAAATATCTTCTTTAGGATATTGGGTAGGTAAGTAAGTGAGTAAGAAGGTCTTGTACGGTTCTCACAGTTTAAACTTTACTCACATAATATGATAATTGATCTTATATAAACTTATTGACATTATAAGGCATTGACCGTTTTATATTTAAGGAATTGTAGTCCAATGTCTACTGAAGTTTCAATGATAACACTCACAATTATTCATATAAAAACGAGAGTAAATGCTTCAATAATTATATTCGACGACAATACTCAACACAACCATGTTCTCCAAGGTACCTACCGTTTTTAATAGATTTTAATTTAAATTATTTTATGATATTCCATTTTGTGGTAAACATTTCTTTTTAAGAATTTCTTCTTGTCATGTTTGAGGTTAGAGGAACTTTTTTGTTAAGTTTTCTTCCAATTCTGAGTGTCAAAGTTTGTATATTAATATTATAGAAAAAATGAGAGATGAAGGAAGACCACTTTTAATATTCGTAATTACTTGTGTGTGTGACTTTATGTTTTGTTTCAACAGGTCGCTGTATTTTTGTGCGCGGTGAGCCTCGCCGCCGCTGGTCAACTGTTGGAATCTATTGAGCCTGCATACAGTTCAGCTCCTGCAGTCTCCTCCGTGTCTTTCACATCTCACACGTCTCACTCACCCGTCTCATACGCATCAGCTCCCGCCTACACTAGTTACGAAAGCGCACCTATTGTAAAGTCCTACGAAACACCGGCCTATACTTACTCCACTCCAATCATTGCCAAGACCTATGCGGCTCCCGCAGTTACCTACTCAGCTCCAGTCTACGCCAAGTCTGTTTCTTCAGCTATATCTTACTCAAGCCACTCTGCTCCTTTGACCTATGCCGCAGCTTCTCCTCTCCTTGCCAAGACCTACACCGCTCCTGGCTACACGACTTACTCTTCCTCTCCTATCGTAGCTAAAGCGATTGCCCCAGCGGTTTCTTACTCTTCATACTCAGCCCATTCAGCTCCTATTGCATACGCTGCTGGTCCCGTAGTTACTAAGTCCTATGCTATCCCTGATGTAGCTACGTATTCCACTGTCCCTGTACTAAAATCTGCAGTGACCTACGGCGCCAACTACGGTTGGTGAAAAATTACTTATTTTTAGTTTTAGTTTTAAAAGTAATGTTTCAAATGATGTGATTATGTAAATAAAAGTTAATGAAACTAAATATAATCTTTTAATTTCTTAAATTTATTTTATATGACGATAAGTCTAAGGACAACAAGAAATAATGAAAGTTTATACGTTTTAGTGTAAGAATGCAACATTTATGCTTCACCATTTGTTTAGATTTTCACGGTTAATTATTGGCACTTGTGAATAATAACAGAAGAGATTAAAAATCGAGGAGATTGTTTCGTAATAGTTATCGTGTGACAAAATGTTATTTACCATGCAACAACCGGAGTAATTACAGGAGGAATTTAAAAGCTATTGGCTGCGATTTTCCATCCCTTTTTATCAGTTCATAGACAACTTACTTAGTCCTATGTAACACTAATTAAATGATACTATTGCCATACACATTATTAATTCCAGTTTTCTTTCTTAAATAATTATAATAAACAAGTATTTTGATTGATTTAAGATGAAAGTAGATTCATGACATCACGAAAGAACATATACATATATGTTAGCATAAAAATAAAAAAACAACATAAATATTTTATATACATTTTATTTAGCGCATCGTATCAAATGAAGTACATAGTCATTTCTTAGAAATAAGTGATTTTATCAAGTGATTTTATTTACCAACCGTAGTTGGCTCCGAAACCAGTATAAGCCACGTGGGAAACGGCGGGAGCTGCTGAGTACGCAGCGAAGGTCTTTGAGACAACTGGAGCGCTGTACGCAGCCACGGCAGGAGCGGTGTAGGCGACGGCGGGGGCTGCAGCCGCATAAGTCCTAGCAACAAATGGAGCAGGCTCGGCAGCAGCGAAAGTCTTAGTTACGATTGGGGCAGAATACGCACGGTAAGCGGGTGCAGCAGCAGTGAAAGTCCTCGTGGCTACAGGAGCAGTATAATAGCTTGCAACAGGAGTAGCAGCAGCGGCATAAGTCGTAAATGGTGCAGATGCAGCATAAGTCGCCGCTGGTGCAGCCGCCGCATAAGTCACAGGAGATGATTGTCTGGTGAAAGAGGAGTAGGAAACTGCTGGAGCTACAGCTTTGCTGAACACTGGCGCAGTATAGGCTGCTACAGCTGGAGCAGCTTCGTACGCAGCATATGCAGGTGCTGCGTAGGTAGCCACAGGTGCAGCCGAAGAGAAGGAGACAGTGGAAACGGCGGGTGCGGTGTATGCAGCAGATGCCGCTGGAGCTTCCAGATAACCGGCAGAGGCGACACTCGCCGCGCAGAGGAAGACTAGAACCTGGAAAATCATAAAGGATCAAGTTAAGTAGAGTTTAAAAATAACGGTAATTTACAAAATGGATAACAATAGAATACTGTAGTAGAATTAACAAAAAAAAATATAAATTTAAATATTTTCTTCGTTGCTTTCATTAGAACTAGTGCACATGTAGTCTGACACTATCTCGATGTCTTTATTTTTTCTGCCAGTAGTGGTTCAAAAGAAGATCAATGAGCAATTTGTGTTGAACAAGAGACAGTATGTAAAAGGATGGCATGCATCTCACTGAGTAAAGAAAACTAATAATTTCTTTCGTTAGGTAGAAAAAGAAGGAAAAATGGTTTTACAAATTCACTAGTACCTTGGTGTACATGTTTGTATTAGACGTGGTTGTACGATGCACTACTTTTTGGAGCACTTGCATGCTCTTTTATATCAAGCTTTTGCAAACTGGTTCATTGAATCCCAGTTTAAAGTAGTACTAACAGATTATAGTTCAATTTGTATAAAAGAGTAATATCGGTCAAGTGCGAGTAGTATAAACACGTGCCCAAGTGGAACGGAAAATGTTGTTCACATTTCCAACTTGAGTTGTGGGTTCAAGGCATATAAAGTAAGTATGTAAGAGATCGTTAAATTAATTGAAATTATGTGTCCATGCACATAAGTTTGCTGATAAGCTTAAATAATATTGGTGTTTCGGTATTACTTGAACAAGCTATGAATATTTTGCAAGTCTTTCCGTAAATTTGGTAAGTCACCGATTTGTAAGTAGATAGAGTCTAGAGAGAATTAGATCTTATTCAAATGGGATGGATTGTAACATTTTTTATTCAATTATACTAATACGATTGTATTCAAAGTCCTTCTTTATACACTGGTATACTTGCATAATTTTGACTATATACTAAATAAAAATTACTACTTTACACTGATTATGTATCTTAATAATATATATGTAGTATGATTAAATATTGCCATTTGTAGTGCGTTTCAGCATCTATAATCACAGATATATAGAAAAGAGATTAATTAAAATGTGTTAAGTTAGCGATTATTTCAGAAATGAGTATTAGGACCTGATAACCTGGCATTTGCTGGGTTCTATTCACCTTTCGTTGCAGTTCGATTTTAAGTCAGCCATGCCGAGCTTTCGGTAGTTATGTTATTGATACTTCAAAGTGATTTGTAAAAAAATATAGATAATGTACAATTGTATAGATAGGTGTAAAGCACAGTAAATATAAAAGACCAAACTTATTTTACAATTTTTTATTTCTTTTTCTATATACAATCATTATAAGTATACAGCCCAAGATATTTGTAATAATTTATTTATCTATCAACAAACATGTTTTTACCAGCCGTAGTTGGCTCCGAGACCAGAGTAAGTGACGTGAGAGACGGCGGGCGCAGCGGAGTAAGTCACCGCGGATTTCAGGACGGGAGCAGCAGCGTAAGTGGCGACTGCTGGGGCGGCGTAGGTCTTAGCTACCACGGGAGCGGCGGCGTAGGTGGTGACCGCGGGGGCGGCGTAGGTCTTAGTTACGACGGGAGCGGCAGCGTAGGCCACCGGTGCGGAGTGAGATGAGTAGGAAGAGTAAGACACAGCTGGGGCAACAGTCTTAGTCACAACTGGAGCAGCGGCGTATGTGGTGTAAGCAGGGGCAGCATAGGTCTTGGCGATGACGGGAGCAGCCGCGGCGTAGGTCAGAGGAGCAGAGTGGCTGGAGTATGAAGAGTAAGAGACTGCTGGCGCGATGGACTTGGCGTACACTGGAGCAGAGTAGGCTGCTACAGCGGGAGCAGCGTAGGTCTTGGCTACGACGGGGGCAGCAGCGTAGGTGGTGTAGGCGGGAGCAGCGTAGCTCTTAGCTACAACGGGCCCAGCAGCGTAGGTGGCGTATGCAGGAGCGGCGTAGGTCTTGGCGACGACGGGAGCGGCGGCGTATGTGGCGACGGGAGCGTGCGAAGTGTGGGAGGAGAACGACACGGAGGAGACGGCGGGCGCTGAGCTGTATGCCACAGGCGCAGCAGCCTCGAGGAGGTGGCCAGCACTGGCGAGGCTCGCCGCGCACAAGAATACTACGACCTGCATTAAAAAAATAAATTTTAGAAAAAATTCAAAAGGTTCGTTATTTTGCTCCCTATTTGTGATAGTATGCGTCAGCAGTACACTTAAGCCATGTCCCTTATCGGTAAATTGACAATTTCGGATAGAAAATATCACAAAATGATATTTATCAATCAGAAACTTAGATTCAAACAAAGTTAAACAAGCCCATTTTGCTTTGAATTCCAAATCACAGGCTGAATTTCAGAGTCCAAATTTTATAGAAACGAAAATCAAAACAGTAGCACACAAATAACGAGGCCTTCCAGCTAGAATAGAACACTTCAAAATCAAAGTTATTAAAAAATCACAAAAGAAAAAAATCACTTGAATTTATTTTAATGCTATATAATAATTAAATCACTGCTGTAGTACCTTGGTGTACATGTTTGTTTTGTATGAGGCTGTTGATTGTAATAATTTTTGGAGCACTTGCTTTCGCTTTTATATGAGCGTCTGCAAACTGGTATTAGCATTGAATCTCCATGAGATATTGCCTAGAGCTTATTTTGTTCCGTCAAGACAAAACCGGTCAAGCAACACTCGAAGATGTGAGTCACTCGTCGAGGGTAACGGCACAATTAGTATTTACGCAACCCCAGCACTAGATCTGCATATAATGTTAATGTCAAGTTGTCATATTTGAGGCCCAGAAGCGGATGGGCTAGTGCCAATAAAATTGCTAGTTAGAATTACACTTTACCTGTATTGCGCTGCAATTAGCATTATAATTGTCCAGTTAAAAGCAACGCTGTTTTGCTAAGCGCAAATGAGTACCTCAATCGGTTTTAAATGAATAGATACCTAGTAGTATAGATTTTGTAAGTAAACTATGTTGTGTTTTTTACACGTTTTTATTATTTCGGGCCATAACGAAGTATATTTTGTAACTAGCTTTTGCCAGCGACTTCTTGTGCGTGGAATAGTGAGCTGGCAGATTTTTGGTTTTACTTACATAGTTCCCGATCTCATAGGATTTTCGGGAAGCTCTTCTTTTGAATTCCCAGGATAAAAACTATACTTTGTCCTTTCTCGAGTTTCAAACTATGTTTGTACTAAATTTTATCCAATTTGGTTCAGTAGTTTAGAGGTGAAAGAGAGACAGACAGATATGGCTATCTGAGCTACTTACGCATTGGATTAAAATAAAACAAACACAGAATTATTCAGAAAACTTACAGCAACACATTGAAACATCTCAAAAACTGACTAAGCAATTATGGATTTTTAGCATGCCACAAGACCTATTATAAGTTCTAGCAATCTTATTTTTTTACTTATAATAAATCTGTAGACTGGTCATTTACCACACACTATTTTGGGTTCTATTGCCTATATAAAATTTCCCTTGTAAAGTTTTTCTTATTTATCTTCCATGTACAGACACCGACCTTTCACTGTTTATTATATGTATTGATATTGATTATTATCTGGAAGCATGGCGTCGAAAAGATGCACACATGTTTACTGATTTCTATCATTTTTTTATTGAATAGATAATAATATAAACTTTTTTTGGACCCGGGTACGTCCTAAAACTGCGACCAGACACCGAGGAATGGGGAGCAGCATTCTTTAAAAATTATCGGTGACCTAACTGCCCTCGCCAACCCGCCTGCCAAGCGTGGTGAGTATTGGCAAATCCCCCCATATGAACTGCTCAGATAAAACCAGGCCCCCAGTCTCCGGCAGTCCCGCCGTTCCTGGCTACCGTGGTAGCGGTCAGGGTAACGGCGGGACACGGGGTGCTAAGAATCCCCGGAGGTGGAGAAAAGGCTACCACCCCCGACGACGACTGGCCCTGGTAACACACAATGTTCGCACTTTGAGGACAGACGAGAAGATTATTGAGCTGGAAGAGGCAATGGGTAGGTTGCACTGGAGTATTGTGGGGTTGTCAGAAGTCCGACGAGAGGGCGAGGACACGATAACCCTAAGATCCGGCAACCTATTCTACTACCGGGAGGGCGAACAACTGTCCCAAGGTGGTGTCGGGTTCCTCGTCCACAGGTCCCTCGTCAACAACATTCTTACCGTCGAAAGTGTGTCGAGCAGGGTGGCGTACCTGATACTCAGGGTATCCAATAGATACTCGTTGAAGGTTATCCAGGTTTATGCACCGACCTCGACACACCCAGACGAGGAAGTAGAGGTTATGTATGAGGACATAAGTAGGGCCATACATACTAATAAAACCTACTTCAATGTTGTTATGGGGGACTTCAACGCGAAACTGGGAACTCGAGGCGATAACGAGCTGAGAGTGGGGCAATTCGGGTATGGGCAACGGAACCACAGGGGACAGAGACTGGCTGAGTTCCTGGAGAAGGAGGACCTCTTTGCGATGAACTCCTTTTTCCAGAAGCCGTCTCACAGGAAATGGACCTGGATGAGCCCGGACGGTTCCACAAAAAATGAGATCGACTTCATCATGACAACAAAGCGACAGATGTTCAATGATGTCTCTGTGATCCATAAAGTAAAAACCGGCAGCGATCACCGACTGGTCAGAGGCACATTGAATATCAATATAAAGCTGGAAAGATCACGTCTAATGAAGTCTACGCTCCGACCTTCAAATGCACATATCGGTTGTCCCGAGAGCTTTCAGATCGAGCTATCGAATCGTTTTGAGTCCCTGGAGAATTGCGAGTCAGTGGACGAGATTAGCAACAGGTTTGTAGAAACTGTCCATGCGGTCGGGTCGAAGTTTTTTTTTAGACCCCGCCGAAAAGACAGACCGCAGAAGCTTACCGATCGCACCCTCAAACTCATGGCAGAACGACGTGCTATGGTACTCCAGACCTCTGCCGATGCTAAAGCACATCGGCAGCTCAATAGACAAATATGGAAGTCCATGCGACACGATATCCGCAACTTTAACGCCAATAGGGTTAAAGAAGCGATAGAGCGGAACCAAGGCTCCAAAGTGTTCGCTAGGGACATGTCTATTGGGCAAACACAGCTGACGAAGCTGAAGGCGGAGGATGGCAGTGTGGCGTCGACGAAGGCCGAAGTTTTGGGTGAGATCGAGAGGTTTTATGGACAGCTATACACATCGGTCACTAGACCTGTTAGCTCAGTCGCCGATCCAAGAGCTAAACTCACCCGACACTATACCGAGGATATCCCGGACATCAGCCTATACGAGATTAGGATGGCCCTCAAGCAGCTCAAGAACAACAAGGCGCCGGGCGAGGACGGAATCACATCAGAGCTTCTGAAAGCGGGCGGAACACCGGTACTGAGAGTCCTTCAGAAGCTCTTCAACTCCGTCATATTCGAAGGAGCAACGCCGGCGGCATGGAGCAGAAGTGTGGTGGTACTATTCTTCAAGAAGGGAGATAACACTCTACTGAAAAATTATAGACCCATCTCACTTCTGAGCCATGTCTACAAGTTATTCTCGAGGGTCATCACAAATCGTCTCACACGTAGGTTCGATGACTTCCAGCCTCCCGAACAAGCCGGTTTCCGGAAAGGCTATAGTACCATAGACCACATCCATACGCTGCGGCAAGTTATACAGAAGACCGAGGAGTATAACTTGCCACTATGCTTGGCGTTTGTGGACTATGAGAAGGCTTTTGATTCGATCGAGACTTGGGCTGTGTTAAGATCTCTCCAGCGGTGCCATATTGACTTTCGGTACATCGAGGTTTTGAAGTGCTTATACACAAACGCCACTATGTCGGTCCAAGTACAAAACCAGAGCACTAAGAATATTCCTCTGCAGCGAGGTGTAAGGCAAGGAGACGTCATATCTCCGAAACTGTTTACCGCTGCATTGGAAGACGCTTTCAAGCTCTTGGAATGGAAAGGATCTGGCATCAACATCAACGGCGAGTACATCACTCACCTCCGGTTTGCCGACGACATTGTAGTCATGGCAGAATCGCTGGAGGATCTGAGCACAATGCTCGATGACCTCTGTAGAGTTTCTCAACAGGTAGGGCTCCGAATGAACATGGACAAGACGAAAGTCATGGCAAACGCCCATGTCACGCCCTATCCGATATCAGTTGGGAGTTCTAACCTCGAAATTGTTGACGAAGATGTATACCTGGGACAAGTGATCCAGCTAGGTAGGTCCAATTTCGAGAAGGAGGTCAATCGTCGAATCCAACTTGGATGGGCAGCGTTCGGGAAACTACGCAACATCTTCTCGTCCAACTTACCTCAGTGCCTTAAGACGAAAGTCTATAATCAATGTGTGTTACCAGCGATGACCTATGGAACTGAAACGTGGTCTCTTACTGTGGGCCTTATAAAGAAGCTCAAGGTCGCTCAGCGCGCTATGGAGAGGGCTATGCTCGGAGTTTCTTTGCGAGACCGTATAAAAAACGAGGATGTCCGCAAACGAACAAAGGTTTCCGACATAGCCCAGCGGATTAGTAAGTTGAAGTGGCAATGGGCAGGGCACATAGCGCGTAGAACCGACGGCCGCTGGGGCAGAAAGGTTCTCGAGTGGAGGCCACGTACCGGCAAGCGCAGCGTGGGACGTCCACCCGCAAGGTGGACAGACGACCTGATTAAGGTCGCAGGAAGCCGCTGGATGCAGGTCGCTTCCAACCGGCCTATCTGGAAGTCAATGGGGGAGGCCTATGTTCAGCAGTGGACGTCCTGTGGCTGATATGATGATGATGATGATAAACTTTTTTAATTAGGGATAAGTGAGAGATAAAGTTAAAAGTAAATAAATATAACCAAAATGCTCCGAACTGCAGACCTATTAGGAGTTACACGTGTTATGGTGAGTTAACCATAAAAGATAGATATATACTGTTGAATGATATGATGTTATGTTGAACATTCCCGTCATACATGATTTCTATGTAACTTTAACCATTAAGGCGACACACGCGACGGAAGCTAAAAAAATGGAGTAACTTCTCCCGTTTTCCCAACATTCCTTCCCTTCACTGTTCTGTTCCTAATAATTGTAGCGTGATGAAAAGTATCCTATAACCTGCACAGGACGATGAAGAATAATTATACCAAGATTTGTTAAAATTAGTCGAGTAGTTTTTGTTTCTATAAGGAACATACAGACAGACAGAAAGATAGACAGACAGACAAACATTTTACTGATTGCATTTTTGGCATCAGTATCGATCACTTATTATCCCCAGATAGTTATTTTGAAAATATATTTAATGTACAGAATTGACCTCTCTACAGATGTTTTATAAGTATAGATTTTTTATATAAATCAATGCCACTTTTCGATGTAATTCTATTACGTAATATCTCAACTATCCATAATAAATATTTGGGCTCTTTTTTAAAATGGGGAAAATTATGTAATGACTTCTCTTGCCGTGGGTGGGGTGAAAGGGAGTTTCAGACTCTAACTGACTAAAAACCACCCATTGCTTCTCCTGCTCCAGGTTGGTATCACTTCAAGTCATTTGAAAATATTTAAAAAAACGAAGACAAATTTTAACGGGTTTATGACTTTAAAATATGCAGTTCGAGCATATAAGAAACTCATCAGCTTTAACTACTTCCGTTGCATTTGCACTTTAACGTAAATTATTATTAAAATCATTTGAGAACCTGTTTGCAGGAAGGATTACGACATAATTTTAGTATAGAATTTTGAATCCACAAGAGGCCTTCCTGCACTTTAAGTTATTACCTATATAATTATATATATATATATATATATATACCTAGTACCGCGGCTACGCCGGCGTTGAATATTGATAAAAAGCAGCCTACATTAAATTTCAATTAAATCAGTCCAGATGTTTCTGCGTGAAAGAATAACAAACATCTTTATAAACTTCACAATCTTCAAATTTATAACATTAGTAGGATCCTCAATAAAATATAAACCATTTTATGACTCTGGTGCAATATGTTGGTTACTAGAAGAGCCTTTGGCCAGCTTGTCCAGGCAATAGCAAACTGATTCTACAATCAATATAATTCGGTTGTATACTTCATGTAACTAACTATGTGCTTGTAGAAACCGTGTACTATGTTACACCTGGTTACACCGCATGGGTCTTTCGTAGATCGTGCATCGTGCTCTACTTCTTGCGTCTTGACTTTGATAGTAATAAACGGTATTTGAAGGTTAAGGAGCCCGCTTCTCATGCATAAGGGTTCTCTCGTGGGCTCGAAACAAAAAAAAAGATGTGCAAGCTAAAGCAATGTAACTTCTAGGTTACATTGCTTTAGCTCGCACATCTTTTTTCGCCCATTGTCTGTAACTTACTGCCCATTTGATTTTTTGTTGTACACTTCTTCTCAGAGTGGGTGCTATTCTACATACAATTTCGGCAGTTTCCTTCAAAGCAAAGTATTACACACAGAACAACAATTTGTGGATCACACAAATGATCCACAAATTGTTGTTCTGGGTCTGGATGTATGTGTATGTGAAATTATATGTTGGTAACCGCACCCGACACAGGAGAAAATCCTAATGTAGGGCAACGTTTTTTTTTATTTTTACTTATGTGTTTTATTTACATATTATTTATCACATACATACAGGAAATATCAAACAAAAATAGAAATAGAGGTACATAAGTACTGTATATTCCTGATTGGAATCGCTTTCTGCAGTCCTTCGAAAAGAGCAAGCGACATTGTGTGTAACATTTTATTATGCGTAACATATGTATGTGCAAATTATTATTTCAATTTTTCGTCATAATTTATAAGGTGTCAAACGAGATAACGGATCATTTAATGGTAAACAATCAGAGCAGTCCTAAGGAGTTGAGGATTGGAGAAGGGGAGAAAAAGGACTGGGCCTACGGTAACTTCATTCATACGACATAATACGACGCAGACATTGTTTCATGCCGATTTTCTGTGATGCCATGCTATCACTCCCCTCTACCTAACTCATTCCAGCTGAATCATGGCTCTTCCAATTGATTTGAATATTTTAAGGGTTTAAATCAATGTGTAGAAATATGGAATTATCACCATCAGCCTATTAAGTGCCTACTGCTGAGCAAAGGCCTCTTCTCACACGAAGAAGGTTTGAGCATTAATCACCACGCTTGGTCATGGCGGATTGGCGATTTCAAAATTATGATAAAAAGTTATAAGTCCAGGTTTCCTAATGATGTTTTTCTTCACCGTATGTCAGTGGTGCTTAAATGATCATAGAAAATACATGTTACTCAGAAAAAGTCACATTGAGAAACGAGTGCCTTAACCTTCGAGCCACTACAAATCATGATTAAGGAATATTGCATAGTATCGATAAAATAGGTTGATACTTATTCATTATTTCCTTAATTATCACTTAAATATGTTTAGGTTTAGTCAAATCATAATGCAAGTTTTTAACAATTAAAGTAATCGTAATAAAGGATTAAAAGTAAATTACTACCCATAAACCCTTGTTTTTATAACGACAAGCAAATCTTATTATTAGGAATTTATTTCATGGCTCTTCTGTTGTTTCTTTGTCGTTGAAGTAATCATGAGGGCTTTGATTGATCAGCACTGTCAGTTGCAGGCCATCGACGTAAAGGTGACGCTCGCTTCTAGCTTAATTGCTTTGCTAATATTCGAACATGTAGCTGACTATGTGTATAATTATATTTGTTTATAGAGCTACATTATTTGGAAGCATAATAGATTTGTCTTTCAGCACTTAATACTGACATTTTTACATGCTTTGGATAGAGAATAGATGTGATTTATGTTTGGATAATCTTTGGGTTTATGCCAAATGAAATGATCATTTTAAAAAGTAAAAAAAAGTACAGAAATATTATTTTGTTTTTATTTTTCGTTCAAAGAGTTACGAACATACAAACATTATTTACAGTGCTTTATTGACTAACAATAAATATTAACAACTTGGTATTTACCAACCATAGTTGGCTCCGAGACCAGAGTAAGTGACGTGGGAGACAGCGGGCGCAGCGGAGTAAGTCACCGCGGATTTCAGGACGGGAGCAGCAGCGTAAGTGGCAACAGCTGGGGCGGCGTAGGTCTTAGCTACCACAGGAGCAGCGGCGTAGGTGGTGACCGCAGGGGCCGCGTAGGTCTTGGTTACTACGGGGGCGGCAGCGTAGGCCACAGGTGCGGAGTGAGACGAGTAGGAAGAGTAAGACACTGCTGGGGCAATGGATTTAGCCACGACGGGGGCAGCAGCGTAAGTGGTGACGGCGGGAGCAGCGTAAGTCTTGGTAACAATGGGAGCGGCGGCGGCGTAGGTCACTGGTGCGGCGTGGGAGATTGAGGAGTAGGACACTGCGGGTGCTACTGACTTAGCGTACACTGGGGCAGAGTATACGGCAGGGGCTGAGGCATAGGTGTGGACGACTGGGGCAGAGTGGCTGGAGATGGACTGGTGGGAAACAGCCTTCGCGACAACAGGGGCTGCAGCGTAGGTGGTGACGGCAGGGGCGGCGTAGGTCTTGGCGTACGCGACGGGAGCAGAGTGGGTTGAAATGGACTGGTAAGACACTGATGGAGCGTAGCTCTTAGTCACAACGGGGGCAGCAGCGTAGGTGGTGTAGGCGGGAGCAGCGTAGCTCTTAGCTACAACGGGCCCAGCAGCGTAGGTGGCGTACGCAGGAGCGGCGTAGGTCTTGGCGACGACGGGAGCGGCGGCGTATGTGGCGACGGGAGCGTGCGAGGTGTGGGAGGAGAACGACACGGAGGAGACGGCGGGCGCTGAGCTGTATGCCACAGGGGCAGCAGCCTCGAGGAGGTGGCCAGCACTGGCGAGGCTCGCCGCGCACAGGAATACTAAGACCTGGAAGTATAACACAAAACGATGAGTAACCTATTGATCGAAGTTTTGCAAAAAGTCGTACTCAATAATTTATGATTCATTTAATACATTCACTTCTAGACACAAAATCACTTAATTTGTAAGAGTAACAAAGTACAAAAATATATATATATATATATCGAAAAAAATCTTTATAAAATTTAATATCACTTTAGTACCTTGGAGTACATGTTTGTATTGAGTGTTGTTGTCGAGTGTGATTTTTGGAGCACTCACTCTCGCTTTTATATCGCTGTCTGTAAACTGGTATTGGTATTGAATCCCAGGTGGATCAGCCGCGGGCACTTTCCGTTTCAATGTCAAGGTACCCGGCAAAATATAGGCAGTTGTGTAATCTGCCGGAGGCATTCGATCCAACATTCGAACCAGTATACCATCATGTACCGTATAATTATATTTATAAGGAAGTTATTCTCGGAAATTGGTGTAAATAAAGAATTAACAACTGTTGATCTCATTAAACCATAAAGACGATAAAATATGATTTTGTAGATACGTTAATGTTAACAGGGATATCCGTTATTCAAGGTACCTATGAGTTCTTATTGGATTATTTAATAAAAAAGAAGCCCTAAGCGCCTCACTCAAAGTCATTTAATGATTACTTAACTGAGGTCTTAGTAATTGCTTTTCGAAAAAAATCGTTACTAAAGAAAGGGTAAAGCAGTTATTATTTGCAAATATTTTTAACTAAGTGTGGGAGAGCCATGCTTCGGCACGAATGGGTCGGCTCGGCCGGAGTGATACCACGGCCTCACAGAAAACCGGCGTGAAATAACCACTGCGTGTGTTTCGCCGTGTGAGTGAGGTTACCGGAGGCCCAATCCTTCCCCTTCCCCAATCCCTCCTCAATCCCTAAATCTCCAAGTCCCTAATCCCTAAAAGGTCGGCAACGCACTCGTAACTCATCCGTTGCGAGTGTCCATGGGCGGCGCTGATTGCTTACCATCAGGTAATCCGTCTGCTCGTTTGCCGACCTATTACATAAAAAAAAAACTAATTTTGTTGACCGATGATAATACGGAATGTTTATGATGTTGGCAAGCTTAGTGATACACTGATAATAAATGATAATAATTATTATAATCTTCCATCGTTCCTATCACACCAGTCCATATCAAACCACACCCATAGCCTTTTTATCCCTTGTTTCCAATATCCGCATTAGTCCTACACTAACCAGGGACTGTTCTTAAGTGCATTTCAGAGCATAAGGAGATAGTCGCCGGTTTGTGCCTCATTTTATTTAGATTAAAGTTGTGTAAAGGGCCTCTCCGCTGTTGGCTTCGGGCCCTTGCCTATTATGGTCCAGTTATTAAAAAAAGACATTATAGTAAATTTATTTTCCTTTTTAGTCCAAATATTAAGCAACTATGAGTAGCAATGAAACAACTGTTGATGTTCAGTTCAGATTTTTATTTTTGTTGATATTTTTAATTAAACCTTTGCACATTTACTCATTAATACAACAAATCAAATATTTACATAAATTCACAGTTATAGTCATTCCATTTTTAAAATTCAGATTTGTGTTATTTACACAGTATTGTCAATACAATTGAGATATTACATTACCATCCAAGTTTGTTTCCGTAAAGACCGTTACCATAACCGGTTAGTCCATATCCGCCATAGCCACCATATCCTCCATACGCGCCGGCATAGCTCGGAGAATGCTCTTTGTAAACAGACACTGAAGATACAGCGTTACCGAGACCATTATAACCATGAGCTCCGTAACCGAGATTGTTATAACCGTTGTAACCATGAGCCCCGTAACCTAGATTTTTGTAACCATGCCCATCGTATCCAAGTCCACTGTAACCACCAATAGCGCCTGAATATCCGCCTTGACCGCCATAGTATCCTCCATGAGCTCCAGTGTTAGGGACCACTTTAGTTACTGAAGTATACGAGGTAGCTGGACTGTAGCCTTCGTAACCGTAGCCGCCGCCATAACCTCCGTAACCATAGCCGCTACCATAGCCGGAGCCATAGCCTCCATAGCCACCATAGCCTCCATGGCCAGAGTAGCCGCTGTTGAAAAGGGCTCCTGCATGTGCCAAGCCGAAGAGGCAGATAGCGACTGCAATAATCTGTAATAATATAGCAATCTTTATTATCATTTCTTTAAAGGAACAGATGATAAGGGACCTGAATACCTCTGTTAGTGATAGACTGGTCATTGATAAGCAACTGCTAATGCCAATTATCACAATAACTAGTGTTTGAGGTAGGTCAGTATCAAGAATAGCTTTGTAACTTAATAATATATAGAAATGACACAAAATGTTTTCCAAATGTATTCAACAACAATAGAGAAATATTTTTTTTTTTTGAGAATAAGATTTCAAAATAATTTAATAACATTTAAAACAAGATAATTAAGATTTGAATACTTAAGTATTTTATTACCTTAGTGAACATATTGTTCGTATGTCTTCAACGATGATGTGTTGAATGTGTTTCAAGCTATTGTTTCATTCTTTTATATTAAAAACGTAGGAAACAAACTACACTTTTTCAAGGTCTTAGTAGATTTTGAGAAAAACGGAGCGTGACGGATTTAATTAGACTTACGTTTTAATGCAGTATTAACTAATATATTGGCTGTAATCTTACAAACGATTCGCAGCTCTACACCGGTAATTATTAAGCTGATAGTTCTACTTACGTTCAAGATAAAATCTTTATTGTTTTATCTTGAGAACGGTTGTACAAGGGTTGGCATTAGTGTAAAATACAAAATACGTAGTAATTATTAATTAATTACGTTTAAGAATTTGATATGTGATAATTGTTGTTTTTAATATTTTTTTATTATTATTTGGCTTGTTCTATTATTGTATTACCAATTTGACTGCACAGTTGGCGCGGTGGCTGGGCAAATGGCTGCCGGGCAAAGTCTCGCGGATTTGATTTCCACACAGAATAACTCCATTTGTGTGATCCACAAATTGTTGTTCCGGGTCTGGGTGATGAAAGTGTAATTGTATGTTTGTAAAATCCACTACAGGGAGGAGAAAATACAAGTGTGGGAAACGTTTAAATAAATAATAAAAAACTTTCTGCCATTGGTTTCGCAAGCAGTACCAGACTAAAATTTAGCCTACGTGTTATTCCAGACTATAATCTATATTTTCTTTATCAAATTTCATGTTCAGTGTTTCATGTGTTTCAGTTTTTACATGAAACAGTAACATACTGTTTAACAAAACAGCAGCAGAGCAGGTGGAGGAACGCGGTGGTTTTCAATCAGTGAGAGTCTTACACTTTTTTAAATTTATGTTTTTACAAAATTAAAAGGTAAATTAAATTTTGTAGTTACAATTAACTCAAACTTCTATTGTATGCATATGAGAATTAAGTCTGTGTGTCCTTGGCTTATAATAAAAGACAATCGATTGACTGAGAGCACATCTGTTCATAAGTTAACATTAAACGTTGAGCGATAAAATTGTTGGTTCTAATGTGATAAAATGTTGCTGTGAGAAAAACTAGTTTAGCTGAAAGGTCCGGCGATCTTACAATTAAATTAGAAATTTTATTTGCGTATTTATTTGGAAACCAGCTTTTACCCACGACTTTATTCGCGTGGAATATTGAATTCCTGCAGTTCTTTGTTTTAAAAACTATCCTATGTGCTTTCTCGAGTTTCGAACTATGTCTGAACAAAATTTCACACAAATAGGTTCAGTAGTTTAGGCGTAAAGAAAAGAAAAGACAGACAGCCAGACAGACAGAGTTACTTTCGCATTTATAATAGTTTTGAGCTAAATTTATTTTTTAATAAACATAAAAGAAACTCAAGTTATTAACACTATGTAGTTTAGAACCAGAAGAAGAACATATAAGATAGGGTAGGTAAAGTAGGATAGGAAGGGTAGGTAGGGTTGGTAGGGTGGGGTAGGTAGGGTTGTGGCACTAGTCAAATGATGGGAGCGAAGCCGCGAGTAAAAGCCAGTATGTATCAGTATGTATAAAGAGAAGTTATTTCAAATCGTGGGAGAGACCTAGTAAGAAATATCATTGTCTAAATTTTATTACTTTAAGTCTTAAAAATCTTAATTATGTAATCATCCTGTAAGATTGTTCGAGATGGATATTATTTAACTTCAATTTTTTTCACTGAAATTTAAGGTCAATAATAACACCCTTTATAACATAATTGCTAAAGAGATATTTCAATCCCCGATCACAAACACCCAATAACCAATTCCCAATCTATAATCTCCATTAAAAAATCCCCAGTCCCCAATTTTTCCATACCTAAATAACAGCAGCGTTTGTCGCCAAAAAAAATAATTGTAGTAGTTAAGCAATTACTTTGAAAATCATTTACTTAAATCTCCTATCCAATATAATTAATTAATTCACATCCAAATATTTACCTGTTTTATCTACTACTACTTAACCAGAATCAGTAATCCTCTTAGTTGACGTTAATCTCTACAGGAATTACTATCTATAGATATTATACTAGGTATTTGTGTGTTAATCTGTATTTAATATTTCTCATTATCGTGAAAATTTATATAAAAAGGTTTTACACTAAATTCGTCTATGCTTAATAGTTGAATCATTTTCATCTGTACATATATAATACCTGTTGGTACAGTCAGGGGTCAAAAATGCAATTGCAATCTACCAATTTTAAAATGACCAAAATATCTTTGTAGAATAGAGTCAATGGTTGAGGCTTTAATTACCCGACTGCCAAAGAAGGAGGGTAATGTTTTTCGAGTGTATGTAAATATGTATGTATGTCTTTTCCTTTGTGACCTCCTGTAGCCTAAACGGCTTGATGGATTTTGATGTATGAGGTATCGTTAGATTTGTCTTGATTACGGGAGTGTCATAGGATACATTTTATCCTAAAAGTCCCACGGGATAAAGACATAATAATATTTTTTCTAAATTTCCCTTTAAAAAAATATGTATGCGGTATCATTAGATTCATTTCAATCACGGGAGTAACGTTAAATAAAAACAGCTAAAAAGTTATAAATAAAAAAAATATTATTAAAAAAACAAAATACCCGACTGCACACTAAAAAAAGAGTAAAACAAGCCCCACAATACAAATTTACTGAATATAATTTATAAATGTTGATGGAAAGCATCGCAGGCGGGGACCACCTTGACCGCCACCAACGAAAATTCTGCTAAATGGTGCACAACAGAAATGACTATAAATAAGCCTCTGTTGGTCCCCGCCTGCGATGCTTTCCATCAACATTTATAAATTATATTCAGTAAATTTGTATTGTGGGGCTTGTTTTACTCTTTTTTTAGTGTGCAGTCGGGTATTTTGTTTTTTTAATAATATTTTTTTTATTTATAGCATATAATCTAAATTATTGAATAAACTGGCTGTGAACCATTGAACATTTACTACAAAGAAATTTTTGTCATTTTAAAATTGGTAGAGTACAATTAGCATTTTTGACCCCTGATTGTACCTATATAAAATTTATATACATATAATGAACATAATACTATACATATAAGCGATATCATGTGTTTCTTATTTTGTTTTGACAGGTAATTTGGGAGAAATAAAGTGCCTAAATAAGAAAAAGACAACTACGTGGACAACGGACGTGGACATTTTGAATCTAATTTGATGAAAACAACATTAAATAAATTATTTGACGAGTATGCCATCTGTAGATGTAATTTTTTTAATCCTGTATAATAAATACGTAGCCAAAACATACGAATTCAAATCGGTCATTATAGTATGATGCATGATGTGATCTGGTCGAAACCACCGATGCTTCTTAAGTCTCATGCAATGGTGATAACTCAGCATCTGTTGCATGAGACTTCATTTGACTCCTAGAGATGACTCCTTACAGAGTAGGTTTCGTTATTCCTTACCTTTGGACCGACCATTATTTTTTAAGGGGGAAAAATCATTAAAAACTTGGGAAAGTAACACAACAAGATGTGTGGGAGAGACAGTTCCACACGTAAGGGTCGGCTCGACTGTGGTAATACCACGGCCTCATACAAAACCATCGTGGAAGAACCACATTGTGTTTCGCCTTGTAAGTGGGGTTACCGAAGTCCAATCCTTACCCTCGCCCAATCCCAAAATCTCCAAATCCCTAATCTACAACAGCTCGGTAATGCACTCGTAACTCCTCTGTTGTTCCGGGTGTCCATGGGCGTCGCTGATTGCTTACCATCAGATAATCCGTTTGCTGAACTATCACATAAAAACAAATAACTTCTCTTGCCCTGGGTGTGGCGAGAGAGAGTATCAGAGTCTTTTACATCTCTGTATTTATGAATAACTTCGGTGTTGTAATTTTTTTTACAAAAATGAAACAAAAGTTTTAATTAGGTACATAGGTACAAGTTTATTAAATAACCAGGTACAATAGAAAAGTAATTTACATCTGCTATAAATAAGACAGTCATACGATAAAAATAAAAAATAAAACATTTACAATTTAATTCCAATATGTTATTATGCATTGTATGTGCGACCTCCTTGTAATAACTTACCAGAGGTATTTAGAGCCGTGGCCATAGCTGGAACCATAGCCGTAACCAGATCCATAGCCGTAGCCTGAGCTGTAACCGTGGCCAGCATAGCCAAGACCGCTGTAGTCATGAGCTCCGTATCCATGGCCGTAGGACACAGTGTAAGGTGCATATGACGCGTAAGACACAGGAGCGACATAAGATTTTACGATGGGTGAAGAATGTACTTGGTAACGAGAAACAGTGGAGATCGCTGGGGCATAGGATACTGCAGAAACAGCAGGAACAACTGTCTTAACGATAGGAGCTGCTACAATGGTTTTGGCGACGACGGGTGCAGTGTAGGCAGGGGCCACGTAGCTAGCGTAGCCGCCATAGCCGAGGCCAGATCCATAACCGATGCCGGAGGCATAGCCTAGGCCTGATGCGTAGCCTAAACCACTTCCATGCCAGCCCCCAGCGCGAGCCAGGCCAAACATGCAGAGAACGGCAACAAACTGTAACAAAGAAACATTTAAATTAGATTATTTTATGTTATTGTTGAATTACTTAACTCATATTGTTCATAAAGTATTGTGTGTGCCTGAATAATAACAAAATAGTTGTAGTATTAACATGATCATTATAGCGAGGTGGGCCTAGTGACCAAAGTACAGGCACCAGTCTCAACAATATTCTTACTGGTCTACTACTTAGCAAGTTAATATATGGTGCATTTCTATAAAATATTGCAGTGAACAAAAAAAATTTGTTGTTGAAAAAGTGACAAAAAATACTGACGAATATAATGTAATCCATAGAAACAACGAAGTTTTGTTCCTTATATACATTGTCGTATTAGTAAAATCGAACCACATACACAGACATCAATTGCCTTCGACTGTACATAACTAGTACCTATAGCAGAAAATACAACGTAAAAATAAATATTTATCTTTGTAAAAACTTCAAAGCA